TAATGCCTAGACCTCAAGGGATTCTGATTCCATTGGTCTGGGTGCTGCCTGTGATTTTTAAAAATTCCCAGATGATGCTAATATTCAGCAAAGTGTGAGAACTACTGCTCTATAAACTTTCCCTCTCAACTCCTTATGGGACCTTAAAACTCTTTTCTACTTTCTAATGTTGCTATTATTTTTGTCCATGTATGTTTTTCCATCTCTATTAAAACTGTAAGTCTTTTAAGAGTGAGAACTGTTTTTTAATTCAATTTTATCACCTTCTTCCTAACAAAACTTAGCCCTATAATAGAAGCTTAATAAATGTTTATTGAATGAATGATTTATTTGTAATCTAAAAATGTTCTCTCAACACCATAAATGTGGCTATGGTCCACATTTGGAGACTGGTTAAACACTCTCAAAAGTGCAAAGTTGTTTCCTCTTCACTTCTATGTAAAGACCAAATGTCTGAAGAATCAGAGGCTGGTGGCTGGGCTGGGTCTTCCCTGGGTACCAGAACCACCACTGCAGGAGCTGCGTATGGACAGCCCAAGCGTGGAATTCTAAGACTCCGGAGCTGATGCACAATGACACAGCCTATCCCTGCATGCTTCCAATTCAGGACTCCTGGCTGAAACATGATGATGTTATTGTTTCTTTCTCCCCAGGGTGCCATTTTGATATTTATGGGGATTGTTGTTCTCACTATGAAGGCATCTGTTATTGAAATGTTCCTTGGTAAGTACTTTTATATGTGTATCTGGATACTCTTTTAACATTTTCCTAAGGTCCAAAGAATTTGGCCAAGAAAAGTCTTAAAGCAAGACAGAACACATTAACAATCACTATTTCTTTGTATGATAAACATCGTGGAGAAAAGTTTAAGTGGCAAAGTTAAAAATAGATCAAATTCAGGATGCACGTGTATCTACATTTTTATATAAAACAAATATTTATTGCATATGTATTTCCATATATTATATATTATGCACACATGTCTTTATGTGTATTTTTCAGCAATGGGTAAATATTTTGGATATAGCATATTTACAGATTCTGATTTAGGGGTCTTCTTTTTTCTTAATTTCTCAAAAAAAGAAATTGTTATCATTGATTTGGCTTCACTTGTATCATTGGAGACTCAGCCTGAGATGAAACCGTTTAATTGTATTATCACCAGAGGGTACAATTTTGAATTGGTTTTTCAAGGAACAGCAGGGCTACTAGGATAGGGAAACTGCTAATGGGCTTAGGATCAAGCCCTTGGGTAATAATCTGTTAAATTTGACCCCATTGTCTATTGCCCTGTCAGATAAAGTGACCCTGTCAGCATTGTGAAACTCTTGCCAGGACAAGGCACAAAGGTCTTTTGGATAGCCTGTTTCAGTTTGCTAGAGCTGCTGTAACAAAATAACTGCAACTGTGTGACTCAGAACAACAAAAATCTATTCTCTCTCAGTTCAGAAGACTACAAAATCAAAATCAAGGTCTCAGCAAGGTTGGTTCTTTAGAGAGCCATGAATGATAAATCTGTTCCATGACTATCTTCTAGATTCTAGTAGTTTACTGGAAATCTTTGGAATTCTTTGGTTCCTAGATGTATCATTTCAGTCTCTGCCTTCCTCTTCCCATAATGTCCTTCCTGTGTGCAGGTATATCTCCCAATTTCCCTCTGTATAATGATACCAGTCATACTAGATCGGGGGCCCAACTCTACTCCAGTATGACTTCATCTTAGCTAATCACCTCTACTGTGAGCCTATGTCTGAATTAGGTCACATGCTAAGTACTTGGTGGTTAGGACTTCAACATATAAATTGGATTGAGGGAACAAAGTTGAATCCATAATACAATGAGAATGTTCAAGGTCTATTCATAGGGAGTCTACAAGGTAGAATTGGGCACAGGATGAGATGGAGGTTGCACCACTGAGAAGGGAAGAGAGATTTCAGCATGACAGAATGCGTACTGAACTGGAAATCAGAGGGAGGGTAGAGGTTTGAGTCCTGGCTCCAACATGACCTTGCTAATAATGTTGGCAAGCCACCCTTCCTATCAAGCCTCCTGTTTCTTCTTCTATAAATCATATAGTTGAGGGGCTGGGGTTGTAGCTCAGTGGTAGAGCACTTGCTTGCACATGTGAGGCACTGAGTTCGATCCTCAGCACCACATAAAAATAGATAAAGATATTGTGTCCATATCAAAAAAGATCTTTAAAAAAATAAAAATAAATAAATTATATAGTTGAGCTGTTAATTATCCAGCTCTATATAAAATGGCTGCCCGGGAGCTGGTTCAGCTTTGTCAAGATTGCTTGACCTAGCTAGGCCACACTCTCCTGGAGCCAAAAATAAGGACACTCCTTATCCTCAGTGGCACTATCCTGTTTCCTGTCAGATGGTTGTGAGAAGCCCTGAAGAAGTTTCTTGGTACTTGACCAGGAGCCCTACCCCAACCATAGCAGTTGTCCTCAGCTGGGCAGGGTCCAGGGACCAACCATCCCACTCTACCTCCACAATCATCTTATGTGCCTGGCTTGCTTTAGCAAATAAGAGAACACTCATCTTGGAAGCGGCCCTTCATTCCCACCTTGCTCTTTTGAGAAGCTTCCTTCCTTCTTAGACTATCATAGGTCAGTAGATTCCTAACGTAAGAGTGGGGGCTGGGCAAGGGGTTGGGAATAGGAAGAATTTAGTGAAACAAAACAAACCAACCTTAGAGTTATGCCATGTTCCCCAGCATCACAGAACAAAGAAGGGAAACCTGATTATCCTTTGTTCTCAGCCTTTTTCGGACTATACTTCTGCAAAACTCATTCATATAGGAGTGCTCATTCATATAGCAGGAAATCAATGTAGAAAAAGGAGACTCCTATACTTCAACACAATAAGGCATGTATGAAAAGCCCACAGACAACAGCATACTAGAAAGTAAAAACCCCAAACTTTCCCTCTAAAATCAAGAATAGGACAAGACGGGGCTGGGGATGTGGCTCAAGCGGTAGCGCGCTCGCCTGGCATGCATGCAGCCCAGGTTCGATCCTCAGTACCACATACAAACAAAGATGTTGTGTCCACCAAAAACTAAAAAGTAAACATTAAAAAATTCTCTCTCTCTCTCTCACTCTCTCTTAAAAAAAAAAAAAAAAAAGAATAGGACAAGATGCCCCACTCTTACCACTTCCATTAAACATAGTACTAAGTCTTTTTTTTTTTAAGAGAGAGAGAGAGAGAGGATTTTTTAATATTTATTTTAGTTTTTGGCGGACACAACATCTTTGTTGGTATGTGGTGCTGAGGATTGAACCCCGGGCTGCAGGCATGCCAGGCGAGCGCGCTACCGCTTGAGCCACATCCCCAGCCCAGTACTAAGTCTTTTCCAGAATAATTGAGCAAGAAATAAAAATAAAAGTTATCCAATTTGGAAAGGGAAACGCCAAATTGTCTCTGTGAACATATAACATAACAACATATAAAGGAAATCTTGAAGACTACACCAAAAGCTATTAGAACTAATTCAGCAAAGTTACAGGATACAGAATCAACACACACACAAAAATAAGTAGCACCTCTAAATACAAACAATAGTGTATCTTTAAAAAAAATTTCATTTACAATATCATCAAGCAAAAAAATAATCTTCAGAATAAATTTAACTCTGAAAGTAAAAGATCTGTACATCAAAAACTGCACAACGTTAATGAAAAGGACACAAATTAATAGAAAGATAACCCATGTTCATGGATTGGAAGACTCAACATTGTTAAAATGTCCATATTATACTAAGTAATCTACAGATTTGATAAAAATCTCTATAAAAATTCCAATGGTATTTTTCCCAGAAATAGAAAAAAAATCCTCAAATTTGTTGAAACCACAAAAGATCTCAAATAAACAAAGCAATTCTGAACAAAAAAGAACAAAACTGAAGGCATCACAATGCCTGATTTCAAAATACACTTTAAATCTATACAAATTAAAACAGCATGGTACTGGCAATTTAAAAAAAAAAAAAAAAAAGACATCTAAACCAGTGGAACAGAATAGACAGCCCAGAAATAAATTTACACATTTCTAGTCAATTGATTTTTAACAAGGATGCCAAGAACACACTAGGAAAAGAATTTCCCTTGAATAAACAGTGTTGGGAAAATAAGACACTCAAAAGAATGAAATTAGATTCTCATATTTAAAAAAATCAAAATTGACTAAAGACTTAAATATAAGACCTAAAACTATAAAACTACTAAAAGCATTCTGTACAGTGATTTTTTTAACATGACCCTAAAAGAAAAGGCAATAAAAGTAAAACTAACATATGGGATCACATAAACTAAAAAAGTTTCTTCATAGCAAAGGAAACAGTCAACAGAGGGTAAAGACGACCTGTGGAATAGGAGAAAATATTTTTAAAATATACACCTAAGAAAGAGTTATTATCCAAAATATAGAAGGATCTCACACTCTCATACAATTTAGCAGAAAACAACCTAATTTTAAAAGTAGGCAAAGGCCCTGAATAGACATTTCTCAAAAGAAGATATATGAATGGTCAACAGATAAATGAAAAAGAGTTTTATATCAAATTAAATTAAAGACAGAACTACTATATAGTCCAGCAATCCTACTTCTGAGTATACATCCAAAAGAAGCAAAATCTATAGGTTGAAAGTATATCTGCACTTCTTTATCACTGCATCATTATTCATGATAGCCAAGATATGGAATCAACAGTCCATTGATGGATGAATATATAAATAAAATGTTATGTACATATAAAATGGAATATTATTCAGCCTTAAAAAATAAGGAATACTGCCTCCTGATCACAGTATTAATCTTCCTAAGGCCTGTATTTTATTTGTGGCATGAATGAAATTGGAGACATTATGCTAAGTGAAATAAGTCAGACATAGAAAGGCAAGTACCATATGATCTCACATACAGAATCTAAAAAAGTCAAACTCATAGAAAAAGAGTAGAACGCTGGTTGTCAGGGCCCAGGAGAATGGAGAAATGGGTAAGTGTTTGTCAATTATGAGGCCAAAATGTTAAGGAGTCTAAGGTACAGCATGGTGACCAGAGTGTATAATACTGTGTTGTCAACTTGAAGTTAGCTGAGAAAGCAGATCTGAAATGTTCTCACCACACACACAAAAGTATGTATGTGAAGTGATGGAGAGGTTAATCAGCTTGATTTAATCATGTCACAAGATGTGTGTGTGTCAACACCACAACTTTTTGTCAATTACACCTTAATAAAGCTGGGTAGGAAATGATAAATAACTCCATTGATTAAAAAAAAAAAGGCAACTTCTGTTCACAGATTTCTCTAAGTCCTCCAATGTCTGCATCCTGGGCAACTCCCTCCTCAGCCCACTGGTCAGGGCCATTTCCTTGAGTCCCTCATGACTTCCACCCCTGGTAGGTACTATGACTGCTTCCCTGACTCTGATCCTTATACCTCCAACTCATTCTCCAGGGTACATGTGTTCATCTCCCTAAAGTCTGTGTCTGATCACCACTCTCTTGATTTAAACTCCTCAGAGTTTTGCCTTCGTCTTCAGGATGGAGTCCAAGTCTCTGGCTCTTACTGTCCTCCCCTGCTCTCCTCTCTCACTAGCCCCTCCCTGGCACTGACCTCCTAATCTCCCCGGGGGCTGCATCATTCTCATCTTTAGGCCTTTGAACACGCTGTTCCCTTTTCAGGAATGCTTCTCCTCCATTCCTACATCCCCACATCCTCACAAGACTTTGGTCCTCCAAGAAGATTCCCTTGGCCCCATTATGTGGGGCCATCTTCCTATGTGCTTCCTCGACCCCTATGTTATCATCACGGCTACACTGTATTAGCCTGACCCTCCAAGCACTGTAAACCCATGGAGGACAGGAGCTGTGTCTTACTGTGGTATCCCCAGTGCTCCACACATATCATAGGTACAAAATAAGTTTTGCTCCAAAAATGATTGTTCTTAGCCATGCTAGATTTTCAAGGTATCAGAGCCATCCAATGATCCTCCTCCCCAAATTGTTAAATTAACAACAGTTATTTAATTAATATATTTCAAAATAAGCATGTTTGTTTTACATGTCTTTAAATGCACCACAGAAATTTTAGGCTGTTCGCTACTCATTGTCTTTGAAGTCCCATGTAAAATCAATGTGTAAGCTTACCAGGAGCAAGTGGAATAAAGAGACTGAGGCTGTTGCTAGCAAACTTGAGTTCTAGTTACAACTTTTGGCCCCAGATAACTACAGATTTAGGGAAAGTTTTAACCTTGACTTTAGTTTACTTTCCATAAAATAAAAGAGATGCTTCTGGGTTTAATATTCTGGATAAATTTATGTTTTATGTGGGTATAGAAAATAAACTGTCAGGGCTGTGGCTGTGGCTCAGTGGTGGAGCACCTGCCTAGCTCGTGTGGGGCCCGGGATTCAATCCTCAGAACCACATGGAGATGGGTAAATAAGATAGGGGTATTGTGTCCAACTACACCTAGAAGAATAAATAGTTAAAAATAAATAAATAGTCATATCTCTGCTCTTATTTATTTGATGCTAAATGTTCCAATAAGTACATAATCCCAAATTAAGGTATTAGGGAAGTTTTTAATTGCTTTAAAAAGATCTGCTTTATAAATCAGTTTTCAAGAAAACATTGTGGACACTCCTATATTAGTATATTGAGGAGTTTAAAAAATATCCAATAAGAAGTTTCTGGGCTAGAAGGAGACATTTCTGTAAAAGTCTAGGTACATAAGTATTCAGTAAGTACTTATTGATTTGATTATTGGTTAGATATTCTGGCACCTCATGTCTTCCCTTGAAAGTGAATTATAATTTATAATTATAATTTATTACTGACAGGAAAACTAAAAATAATAAGCACAGATTAATCATACTGATAACTTTAGAAAGTACTTTTCATTATTGTAAGCCTATATGATTTCAATATAAGCAAATGTAAACATAATTTAACAATGTTGCCTGTTTTTAATGATAAAAGAAATGTTCTATATAAACTATATATTTTATTTGTAAAGAATATAATATAAAAAGGAAAATATAAAAATAGAAACCCTAATCCCACCATTGTTAACATTTTGGTATACTTGTTCCAGTTACTTCTCTGCATATATTTTAACTTTGTCAGATTATTCTTAAGATTAGAGTGGAACACTTCACAGATAATTTAATGTTCTTCTACACATCATTTGTAATAAATGCTTAGGATTTTCCTATTGTTGGGGCATTTCCAACATTTCATTATTTCCAGATTGCCATTAGAAATGCTATAATGAGTACTTTTTACATAAATCTTTGTCTCTATCAATGATTGTAACTTGGGATATATTCCTAGGAGTGTTATTTTATCAGTTAAAGAATATAAAAATTAAGACTCTTGAAACCTTTTATCAAATTGCTTTCCAGAATGGCTCCACCTGCTTAGACTTCATGAACAGCACACAAAATTCACTAACCCCAAATCCCTGCCAAGATTAAGTTTAATCTTGTGTTCCATATTTACTGACACGAAATAGGAAAACATTCCCTAAAACATTTTGTTTCAGCTTGCATTTTTTTAATCATTAATGAGATTGAACATTGTTTCAATTTATTCATTTGTATTTTCTCCACTTACAAATTATATGATCAGTTTTTTACATTGATTTAAAAATAGTTGCACCTAATATAACTGTCCTTACTATTACAAAAGAGAGGGGGAAGTAGTAGAAAATTTTTATTACAAAAAGTACTTTTAATATTTAATTTCCTTGAAATTTTAAGCATTACTAAAGAAAACTGAGAATTTTTTAGGTTATTTAAAACTGGAACACCAGATTTTTAAAAATGGAGAAGCATTGGTGCAGAGCTGGTAAATCATGTTTGCCTTGGAACTTTGGATTCTGGAATTAATTTCCACAAGGTTTGTAGACACAAATGGCCAGATAATTAACTACTCTTACAAACGGGGCTGACTTGCAGAACCATCTGCCACCATGCTCGTGGAAGTGGGCACCATCCGTCTTGGGGCTCTGCCAGGCTTCCTAGGAAAACAAATAGAAGACGGATGTTTCTCTCACCCAAGTTCAACATGCAATTCACTATATCCAGTGTAGCAAGAGAAGTCTTGCTGATGATAAATGAAGATTTGCTCCAAAGCACAAGCACATTTGCAGGCCTTATTGACCAGCCCTCTCTTGGAGGAGTGGTTTCTGGGGAGCTTTAATTAACAAGCACATAAACTGAGGGGACAGCCCGTGTGTACCAATGACAATTGTGACTTTATTAGCCACTACTGTTAAAATGAACCAGCCATGCATGCCCGGAGGGTCTGGGTGACCAAACAAATGATGGGGTGGTCTTGCTGAAATATTATCGTTCTAGTGATACCAGAGATTATGAACCACTTGTCAAAGCCACAAGGCCCAGAAGGACAGTATTTGGTTTTCTCCGAGAACTTATATTCAAATTTATTATTTCACTTGCTTAATTTTTTTATATACTTATTTGGTGCTTGTTTAAAAAAATATTCTAGATATTTATTTTTGCACATAAAATTAAAATATGGTCTTTATACAGAATTAAACGGTGCAGAAACTACTATAAAAAAGGACATTCACACCCAACCAAACCGCAGAAGTAAATAACACCTAAAAAACCTCCGTCTTCCTCCTTCTTGGCTAGACTTCTGATGCCCACTCAGTTCTCTTTCATGGTACTGTTCTTGTAGCACATGGTACGTCAACTGTCCACAATACAACTAGAGCTCATAGACAAAACGGGATCATTTGGTGGCTGCATCATTGACACAGATAGCTAGTGTTTTAGTCTGTTCAAGTTGCTGTAATGAACTGTCATCAACTGAATGGCTTATGAAAACAGAAATTTCCTTCTCAAAATTCTGGAGGTTGAGAAGGCCAAGTTAAGGCACTAGCAGATTCAGTGTTTGGTGAAGAACAGTTTCCTGGCATGGACAACCACATTCTCATCATGTTTCTTACATGAAGGAAGAGACAAGAAATTGTCCTGGAGCCTCTTGGATTTGTTGTTGTTGTTTTTTTGTTCTGTTTTTTTTTTTTTTTTTTTTTTAATTTTTGTGGCACTGGGGATTGAACCCAGGCCCTTGTGCATGCTAGGCAAGTGCTCTATCCCTGAGATGCATCCCCAGCCCTAGAACATTTTTTATGAGAACACTCATCCCATTCATGACAGCTCCATCTTCACGACCCAGTCACCTTCCAAAGACTCCACCGTCTAATGCCATCCCCTTGGGATTTAGGATGTCAACATATGAATTTGGAAGGACACAAACTTTCATTCTATAGCAGCTAGACAATTAAAATATAAGCACCAGGTTTTCTTAAACACTTGGTGACATTACCATCTTTTCCTTCAAAGCTGGCTGCCAATTTGAGATCCCCTATGTCCCTTTATGCCAAAATTAAGCATCAGTGTTCTGTTAAAAAGCAACTCACAGGCTAGGAAGTCAAGTGCCTATTTTGATTCTTCTATTTTCCCACATTCATCTTGAGTCCCAACTTGAAAGAGTCCCAACTCAGAAAGTGAGTTTCTCTGAAATGTAGCTAAAACGGAGGTAAGTTAAAGCAGAGCCATCCTGGGTGGTGAGGTGGAGGAATGCCAAGAGAGAAAGAAAGAGGAGAAGAGAACTGACCAGCATTCTGGAACAGCCATGCTTTCTGTCTACAGTTAGAATCGGTGCAGCAGTGGCAAAATGAGCATGTTCACACACTGTGAATACAAAATTGCCATGAGAAAAGGATGCAATACGTATCAAAATTTTAGGTAAGCATGAATCTCACACAGGAAATTCTACTTGGAAATTAATTTTAAGGAAATAATAATAAATCTGTGCAAAACTAAAGTTACTTTTATTAAGTGAAAATTGACTAAATGATGCTACATCCATATAGTACAATACTTTGCAAGCAGTTAAAATTACTGTGGAAAGAAAATTTAATGACAAGAAAAAAATGTTGATAAATATCCTGAAGTTGAAATAAGTTATAAATATTAAAAATTGTATGAGTATGATCAAATGCATATTTGAAAGTATCCATATGAATATATGGATATAAATATAGATATAGATGAGGCAAGAGAGAGAAAGAAAGTCTGAAAATACATACTTTGGAGTTCTGTACTAGTTTTTATGCCTTTTACATTTTTCTGCAAGGAGTGTATATTATTTTTGTTAATAAGAATAAAAGCAGTCAACATTATTTTTAAAAATACAAGGCTCAAGTTCATCTTATATGCTTGAAAAGAAACCGGGAATCTGACCTTAAAGTTAAAAGGATAAAGAATTCCCCCTACTTCACCTATTCTATACTTCCTGAAGGAGATCAGGGCCCCAATGCTATTTGAGCTCTCTCCTATATTTCAGGAAGGCACAAAACCAGGGCTTCTAGAATAGATAACCAGGGGGCCATCAGGCGACTCCTCAGACTTTGTGTCTAGTCTTCCCTCTTCTCCCAACCTCTTTCTCCTCTTTTTTCTTTCCCAGACAGCCTGTCTCCTGAGGCTTCTTACATCTCTCTTCCATTCAATCTTACCTCAGTTACTTGCAGGCACACACACATACAAACATACATTTGTGTGGACACACAAACACACACATGCACACTTCATGTGTAGTCTGGAAACTGGTCATTTGGAAACCCGCTGTGGAACAGAGCAAAAGATAACAAGAAGGGTACAAGTGCTTCTACTCCTATCCTTCATTCCTGGGACCAGGCAAATTAGGAGACTTCTCCAGACCCACATTCCCTCCTTTGAAAATGGAGACTGTAGAACGGGGATAGTGAAATTCAAAGGCATCAAAACACAGGACAAGTATCCAGGAGGCATTTTTTGAAAAGACCTTTCAGCAGGGGCTAAGAAAAGTACACAAACTATGTATCTCATTTCCCCAATCTTAATATATGGGGAAATAGTTCCATCAATGAGAATGCTTTGTGCATTACCCAACCAAATGTAAGAACCAAAAGAGAATAAACCTTCAGGTGAAATAATATTAATTAGATTTTAAAACATTTTTATTTTCTTCACATAGTTTTGCTGGTGACTGGAATACATTCCAATAAAGAAATGACTAAGAAGATTAAAAGGCCTAAGTTCAGTAAGTAAAATCATCATTCCTCACTGGTATGAGGCATCTGTCTCACATGTGGAGGGTTGTTACACTTGCATGAGAGAATGTGGAAGGTGATTTTTGTTTTGGTTCTGTTTGGCTTTTGCTCTCCATCTCAGGTTGCTTTGCATTCAGACTGAACAATGATGAGTCTTATTCATCATGTACCCTGTTCCAAAGGGCATTTGACATGAGACCTGATTTTAAAGTAACAGGAATGTAGTTTCACTGACCAGAAAATTTTAAAATGCACACCAGGCAACACCATGGTTCTATGGTGAAGCTGGACTAGGTATTTCCCTGCCATCAACCTCTGTTTCAATTCCCCATACCAGAAAATTCAGTCCAGCTAGTGCAAAAAAAGTCCAGTAAATCTGCCCACCCTCAAGCATGCCCTGTGATCAGAAGGTAAATCTCACAGAAAAGCCCAAAGGGTTTCACACTCAATCAGTGGAAGGAAGAAAAATAAATTTCACTTTTCGGTGATGTATCAATTAAGATTAGATGGCAGAAAGTCCAAAACAATTGGCACATACATAAGACTGAAATTTCTTTAGTTTCTTTCTGTTTCCTATAAACATAAACTGTGCTTTTATGGAAGCTCCACAATCTCCAGGGACCCTTCTCAACATGGATTCCAGTTCATTACCCAAGATGTCCGTCTCCTCTCCATCCACTTCTCCACTTAGTAAGACATGAGGAAGAGAATAACTCCTTCTAAAGAGATGTCCAGAAAGTTGAACGTATGACACTTATCCTTAAATACCATTGGCCAGCAGTAAGGGAGAGAGGGAAACGCCTTGATTTCAAACATCCACATGTTTCCCTAAAAGTAAGGACTTTTAGTACCAGCAGGGAAAAAAGGAAGAATGGATATTGAGAAATAATGAGCAGGATGGGACACAGATGGAAAATCTCACACTCACATATTGTGAGCACACTGGGATATCTGGATCCAAATTTGTGGGCTCAATGGAGGCTTGAGTTAAGGTGTGTTTATAAAGGGCCATAAAATAAAGGTTTTAGATATTGTCAAGGTTCTATGCTCTCACAACCGAAACTTTCTTTAGAGACATTAAATTCAAGTGCTTTGAAATCAGCAACATTAGTCATTTGAAAAGAAAGAACCATCTTTGCTTCACACACCACCCTTTTTTTCTTCTTCTCCTTTAAACCCTCTATGTGGGATTTCCTGTTGAAATGAGACCAAAAGGGCAGCCTTCTAGGCTGAAATACTAAAAAGGAATCAGTTGTTTATTTATTCCTGTCAGGACCAAGAGCCAAAAGGAAAGGCCCTGGGGCAGATGTGTGTTCAAAACAATGATTGGGTTAATATGGAGACAAATGCACACCCAAGTATGAATTCCTTTGGGGTCTTTCCAGTATCTTCATTAACTTGAGTAGGAAAATCATGAAAGGTTCCATGATTACCATGACAACAGTTTGCAGTGACTATGAAAGTCTCTGCTAAATGACCCAAGGGCAAACCTCTATGAGAGATCTCAGATGGATTGAATTTCTGATATGTTAAATTCTAGTTTTATTCTCAAAATCTCCCTAGTGATGCAGCACATTTGAATCAATAAATGCCTGAGGTCTTTTCTCTAATTAGAAACTCTGGCACAATCATTAAATAAGGAGGAAAAAAGATCCAATGAAGGTAATAGAATATTCCCAAACCATGGAGATAGCTGATTCTTGACCTCAGGAGTGTTTCCAAATCATAATCTATAGCTTGAGGCCAAAGTGATTTTCATCTTTCCCATTCAATTTGGTCTATAGCTGGGGCAGGTGACTGATGATAAAGAAGGCACAGGATTCCTTCATTCAACAAGTATTTACTAGGTGCCACCGAGTATGCGACATGGAGTTGGACACTCAGATACAACAGTGATTGAGACTCACCCCTTACCCTCACAGAGCTCACAATCTAGGGAGGAAGAAAGACAAGCCAACGGGTAATTATTATTTCATATGTATGTGCTAGGACAACAGGGAGAATATGGAGAAGAAACTGTGCATCTGGGAGCATTTCCTGGAGGAAATGACACATCAACACTGATAAAGCCAAATAGGCAGAGGCATTGCAAACTGAGAAAACACACGGTATCCAAGGTCTAAAAAGTAGAAAAAACTAAAATGCATTTTGGTTTGGTTGGAACACAGAGTAGAAATTGAAGGTGTTGAGGAAAAGGTGGCGAGTAAGCAGGCACCAGATTGTGAAGGACTATACTACTGTGTTTAGGAATATGGACTTCATCATGAGTCAGTGGAGAGTATCTCAGTGCAGGTTATTTTGGTTGCAATTAGCAGAAATCCAAGCTCAATTTGCTTAAGTAGAAAAGGGGATTTGGACAGGAAGTAGGGTAGCTTGCAGAACCCAAGGAGAGAAGTGCAGCTGGAACTCCCTGGAACTGGTCCCCAGATGGAGGGTCCACAAGACCTAACATCCCTGCTTCTCTCCGCATATCTGTATCTCCTTCCCACCCCCATTTCCCTACCCCAAAATCCTGGGACACAGAATCTAATTGTATGAGCCTAGACAGGCGGGGATCCACTTCTCTGAGAGCAGTGTGGTTCTCAGAGGAGAGTAAGGTGGTTCATGAAATGAACAATCCTGCCAACAACAACCAAGAAACCTTTGTACCAGTGTATGAGGGCAGAAGACAGGGAATGTAGTTGGCCAGTGAAGAAGCATTAGAGATTTACATGCATATATAGGTGGCATGAAAGTATCTACAAAGTGTAAACACAAATGTTTGTAGTACAGTGGAATGCAGAACAATTACAACTTCTCTTGTCTCCTTGGGAAACAAACTGTGCACCCTAGGCCTGCCTCCTGTGTACCTAGAGACCCCCAAGCTCATTTCAGAGGAAAGTGTTTAGGGATCCAAAGATCCAAAGAGACTTTGCTTTATAAAATCAAAAGGCTTTATTAACCTACAATTTATTCAAGAAGGTACCCTAAGCGGAGAGGGTGGGGACCTGGGGCCTTCCTCCTAGTCACTAAACAAAGAAACGTGACCACATCATTCTGACAGTTGACACGTCAGAATCTGTCTTATAGGTAACCACAAAGGATTTTTAAACAAAGTGGAATTATAAAAGCAGGACAATAAGCAAATCACTTTGACAGACAAGACTAGTCATTCTTTAAAAAAATGTGGTTCCTACACCGGAAACATCAGCATCACCTGGGACCCTTTGTCACATCCACTCCTGACCTCTAGAGTCAGATATTATAGGGAGACATTATGGTTATCTTGCTATGCTCAGAATCCTCTATCCCTGGGAGCTAGTGTCTGAGTTTCAAGGTGAAGATTGATAACTCTGAACCTTTGCACAGTTTCCTTGGGTCAGCGTTACCACAGCAACTGGGCAATCTTAACTTGCACCTTTGCACAGGGGGTTCCCAGCACAAGCAGCACACCACAACCACAAGGCAATCAAACACCTTGATCTATATCATCACTCCCCACAGTCTGAGAGTCTTGAGGATCAGTGCCCAAGACATGATACCAAAGTTGTCAAAGCCAGACTAGAAACTCAGGTCTGGGTGAGGTTCTACCTCGCTGCTTTCCAGTGGTCCCCTCCCAAGCCAGGTAGATTTAGGAATGAAGATTCTAAGAGTGTTGGATGAGCAACAGCTGACCAAATGAGAAGTAAAGTAGAAGAGAAATGGATAAAATAGGAAAAGGAGAATACCCTGAATACATGGCTTGAGAACATCTGCCGTACCAGTGCATCTATTCTGTCTGTGTATAGGGACACAATTGCTTCAGATAATTTGTTCTTTCTCTCCTCCCTTCTTTCCCTTCATTTACATTTCTTTTTTCCTCGTATCCCTTTTCCTTCTTTCTACTTCTTTGGTCTGGGCACAGTCCCCAGTGGCCTTCATGAACATTGCTTAGCTCCACCAGGGGCCCTTTGGACCTAGAAGGTAGTACTTGAGAACATGTTGAAAATACTCTGGCATGGGGGTTTGACAAAGGGAAAAAGCAAAGATGGAAAAAGCAATTGGACAGATTCACACAGATAACTCCCCAAGCTTATATGTGATCATTCATTCCAAGCCAACACTTAGCTTTCATGTGAATAGTTGTATCTGGTACAATTTGATTCTACTACACTTGGCTTATTACATTACTTAATTTTCTAAATCAAATTAAGTCTGATTCCAAACCACCAAGTGCAAGGGGAAAAGGGTGTAGAATTCAAATTCCATATTTACAGCAGCTTTCTTTCTCTGTGCTCCAGCCCCTAGATGGTTTATGCAGTCTAAAAGATTGAGAGAGTTCCAGGAGTGGTATGGTGTCCAAGTGCATGTTATCCCTGGAAGGTGGGTAGCTCCCCTGTTTTCTGGACCATAGGACTTTGGCAGAGATGGGGAAACTTTGTACCTCAGGCTCCACCCCAAGAGGCATCATTCTGGGGGCTACTCTGAGGCAGTTCCTCCAAGACAGCTCTAGGGAATGAGGACATTTCCTGTCCTGGAACCTGCCCACCCACTCCCACCTTCCTAGTCTTGGAACATTATTTTCTCTTCATCACTCCTGTGGCTGAAAGAACTCAATTTCCCCTCCAACAAGGGAGATTCGGAGAGTCTAATTCTCAAAGCGCAGAGAATGTGATCCTTAGGCAACTCTGCCCTCTGCCCGGCGACCTTGAGCTCCAAAGATAGGAGAATGTGAAAGCCTGGCCACCTTCTCAGTATAGTAAAAGGGGGGAAATAAAATGGAATTAACATGTGAATGACTTAATAAATTAACCTGCTGGATAGTTCAAGATAAAGTTTACCTATTGCACTAATGACAGGTTTATCACTTACTTTTAGAAGTGATTTTTTTCAAGGTTTTCTGGATATAGTTGGGGTCACAAATCTAACCCTACCTAGCAGCACCTTAGAGGTAGGTTTAGTTAGCCAAAACCCACTTGAGCAGTTTCTAACAAATTACCCAAATGTGGTTGCTTTTTTCTTGATTGTTTAA